CATCACTAAGTTTGCAATACTTTTAAGTCAAATGTTGTATTTCTATTGCCTCTTCTTCTGAGTTCACTACAAGCTTTTCAGAGTTTCTTAGATTTGCAAGAAAAGGCTTTTGGAAACCTCTGCCCATTTCACCTGCTCCCTCTGCTGTACTTAAGAAAAAAAGATCAACCTAAAACCACAGCTTTGTCAGTGTCTGCCCTAACTTCAAATTCACACACGATCCAACCAAACCATCACCTTTCAAGATACTTTTAGCCAGACAAATAACTGGTTAGGCAGATATGTCTTCCATCTTCCTCTTATTTTAATTAGGCAAACAACTCAAAGGCACCTTACACAGATACCTACTCCTATTTGTACCCCTGGTTTTCCTCTTACTCTTCCCATTTGTCCCCTGCCCACATCATCTGGATTCCACTTTAATACCACTGGTCTTGAATTAGACTGTAATCCCTTGTTGGTAGAATTTGTACCTTACTACAGACAGTGAGGCGTGTGAGATGATGTATAGTGCTAATCCTAACAGAAGCCTTCAAGCACTGCTGAAATACAATAATCTGAATCTATGGCAAGTGTACAAATCTACACTGAAAGCTATTTGCAAAGAGTGTATTAGTGAAGTTTCATCAAATATAGAGCATGCTTTCCTGACCTTGCAGACATTGGTTTAGCTACCTACATGTCAATAATGTTTTCTAAGAACTCTGACTAGGACGTTAGTCCCTTAAAAAAAAAAAAAAAGTCAGAAGCTCCAGAGAGTCTCAGGTTATCTGTATTTTATGTGAAATATAAAGAGACAGATTAATGTTTAGATTATGCCCCCTCACACTTTTAAAGGAACGTGCACACATATTTGAGAAACAAGGATACTGAGGCAAAAAAACAACAAAACTCTCTTTACCAAAGGTGTAGATATTTAACATACATACTAACAAGATGCATCTCTTCTCTCAAGAGTGAATACTAGTGCATTCAGTATCAATTTAAATCAGTTATGTGCTACAACCTTGATGCTCTTTTTCTGGTATGATAGCAATCATCATTAAATACTGTCCCAATCGCATAAACTGTTCTCTATGTCCTGGGGTCATATGTAAGCACAGGGGTCCACCCACACATAAAACTAGTTGGCAGGACTGGAGTCTTGAAATTGTCTCAACTGACTCCTAGAAAAGTATGAATCAGCTTTCAGCACTTCCTCTTTTTTTTTTTTTTTTTTTTTCTTGGAGGAGGGAAGGAGAATGAAAGGAAAGGGAGAAGGGGGAGGATCACTGAACCTCAAACAGCTGAGATGCCATGATTCGTCAGATGTGAACCTGGTCACATGAGGTCTCCCTGACCTCTCAATCATTTTGCAGGGTTGGGCCTTTTCCAGTATTTTTATATATATATATACATACATACATACACACACACACACTTTTTTTTCCACAGTTGCTGTAATTGGTGCATTTCTAGTTTCCAGGACTCCTGTAAGTGATTGCTTCCTACAAGGCTTAGGATTTCAAATTCTAAGTGAACCATTGCAGAGATGCTAAACATGCAAAATAATCTTGTAAAAACGTTGTATTGGAGTCTAGAAATGAAGCCAAGCAACCTGTACAGCCTAAAATGCTGTAAAGAAACTCACCTCTGAAACTTAGAATTGAGTTTGCAGTTATAAATATAAGCTAATTGATTCAATTTTTGCTCTTTTTCCTACAGGAGATTGGGTGACTAGTCTAGATATTCAGACACAGACAGCACAAGAAAGATTAAGCAGTACATAGAAAAGTTTGGCCTAAATTCATATGTCTGTGATGAACCAAATGGAAAAGAAGTTTTAAACAGACAACTATGCTTTAGGTGTCAAACATTTCTTGACGTCTGTGGCAGTTGGCAGCTGCAAACATCCGACTGAAAGCCCCATCTGCTGCTTCACAGCTTCCAGTCGAGGATGTTTACAGTCGCTCACTGTCAACAGCAATACACATTCATTCCTCAGCTGTTTACTTTATATTATTAACATGCAGAGGCCTCCGAGCAGGTTAGTTATGATCACTACAACTTTTGTTGCTGCATTGCTACCCGCAGACGTACATGGGACTGTTTTCCTAAACGTTCACAAATGAAATAAAGTGCGACTTCCAGAAGATCATCTGCAAACAGCCAGGCATATTTTCTGTTCAAGCATTACACTTCTAGAATTGTTGCCTATTTTACATCTGGTAAGTATTAAAATAAAGATGTATGAAAGGAGCAGCCTGCTGCTACTGTTGCATTTGTTTTGTTCTCCAAGAGACCGGAGCAATCCTGTCACGTTTATTACGAAAACTGCACTACTCCACAACTAAGTTTGCTTATCATCAGCACAGTGACTAAAGGCAGCAACTGGCATGAAAACAGAACCAAACCTTTTCTAAGGGTATTTCACTACAGTGTCTGGGATGGCTTCCTTCCCCACAGAAAAGCGGGTGTGAGGGAGTTATGTGATATTAGAAGTTAGTTTATCCAACATTTGCTTCCAGAAAAAAACCCACCCACCCCACAGGGGTCTGGGGGGGTAAGAGGGAGGAAGTCGTGTAGCAAGCTCTGCAAAGACTTCAATAAAGTTCAAACCCATTAGAAGATTTCTACAAGTTATCTGAGCTAACCAGTTGCTGCTACACTTCATGTTGGCAGAACGGCATTTCTCACCAAATGAAAAAGCCAAAAAGATTTGGTATAATAACATCCCGGTTGTACAGTTCTGCTGTTTGTTTTTCATTCTATCTCCTGTTTCCTTATTAAGTTAATGATGGGGAAAATTAAAGATTAATCACTCAACTATTTTTCTGAAGTCATATGAAACCGCAGCAGGCAAGCAGAGCGATTATATCACTCTAATTAGAAGGTGTTTTTTCCTTGAAACTTTTTTTGCCCCCAAATGAAATTGCCGCACTGTAAACAGAGTAGGTTATGAAAAGACCATAGCTGGAACGCAGAAGCCTGCGGCGTATTTACTCAAACTGATAAGTGTGAAGGATCCCTATAAATCACTTTCAAAATTCAGGGTTATATTTTCTATGCTAAGGTTAAGAAAATTAATCTTTCAGGCAGCAGGTGAAAACAAGCAGAATTATGCTGGGGCCTTTCCCTTTATTCAATACCAACTTTGAGCTATTAAAGCTTCCTAGGGAACCACATTTTCTCAATGGGTCAAGTCACTAAGGAAACAAAGCAAACTTTATCAGTGCTGCACAACTCTACATTCCCGAAATTCCTAGCACTTGGCATCTATATACCACACTTGCATCCACTTGCACCCTCCCTAGGGGAGCTACCATGACAAGCTATGAAACTCTCAGGAAGATGCCCAACTTCACAAAGTTGCCAACACAAGGAGATATTGACATCCCCGCGTGAGGTCTACCAAAGGACAGGAGGGTAAAAAAATAGATTTCCTATAACAATACTGTTGAAGAAGAGAGTTCCTCTTCTGACAAGTTTCACCTTGCTTATCACAAGCCAGCTGAGAAAAAAACAGAAATAGTCACCTTGCAAGGCAATATATTTGAACTGTAAAAAAAAAAAGTAACAAAAAAAATCCTTGGATGCCATTCACTGATTGCAGAAATACAGGATTTCAGCTTAATTACACCTAGTCATGAAGCAGAGCTTAGCCTTTCATTTGTAAATGTACCAGCCTAATATCTGCAACTTAAAGGGGAAAAAAGTAGGGAGACTATAAAATCCTACTACTTTGAATTAATTAGTTGAAGGACATTATGTCAGCAACAACATGCAGTTCTACTCCATGTATGTCTTCCTTTCCACTTTTAAAAGACATCAAACAGATGATATCTGTACAAAAGCCAAGGCAAGGTCAATCTAAAACTGTGAGGCATTTTATCACACAGTATGGACTGCTAGGCAAACGAATGCCATCAGTTATCTTTACTGCTCTGTTTTTTTAATTTGTACAGTATTCTTATGGAGGTGTTTAGGCAGAAAGTGTCCAAGATGTGAATATCAATCAACAAGGCTTGATACATGCTGCTCTTAATAAGGTTTTTAACAAATACAGGTAAGGAAAAAGGAACAATGTTCTAACTTTGCAATGTCTTCATGAATTTTCAGTTCATGTCACAGACGGAGAAAGGTGCAAACTGATGACGCTTAAGCACTGTTCAGTTAAAAACAAAAATAAAAAAAATAAAATGTTTTTCTCTTACTCTTCTGAAATTTTCAAGCTAGATGACTGGATTATTGGTGATAAAGAAAAACACCAGACAAAAAAAAAGCAACGAAACCAAAATTTTCCAAGTGCTGCTAGGATTCAAAAACTGGTCCTCTACATTTTCCATCAGCTTCCCTACAGATGAGATGATATGAAAACTCAAACAGGTAAATTAATTTTTAATTTATACTAGAAAAACACTGCAAATATCAACAGATAAAAATGGAAATTCAAGACTGCACAGAACTTGAAGAAAATTTAACTTGTGGCAATTCTTTCCTAAGTTGCTTTGTAGTACACATTTTCAAACGTGCTTGTCAAAAAACTTAAGATCATCATTAAATATGGGAAAAAATTATTCCTCCTCTTCCTGCCACTGACAGCACAGGAAGGTTAAGCACACATTACTTACATGAACTCAAGTTCACAGCTGTTATGATACAGCATGAGTATCTCCAACTGTTGCCGATGAACCCAATTCTCTCAACTGCACTTGAACTCACTCTAAAATGCCTGAAGAAGCAGGCTCCCCCTGCACTGAGCCGGCAGTTGTTGCAGACAAACAGTTGAAATTATGCACCAAATAAGAGACAGAACATCCAAACGTCTGGGAACAAGATGTCAAAACTACTGGTAAAAGTATGAACAACATATAGCACATTTTCTTAAGCCTCTTCCCAAAAGTTTCTCCCCAGTATCTAATCATTGGGTATTTTAATCAGCTTTTAATCCATCTAGGTGAACGAATACTACGGTGCACCTCAGCAGAAATATATCCGGAGGAAAAAATCCAAGAACTTACTTCTTGGATACCAGCTGATCCTACTTCAGTCCCCTTCATGCGACATACATGCATGTCTAGGGAGAACTGCATTCTTTGGCCGCTGAAGACTGCTCCTCAGATTTCCAGGAATCTGTATCACACACATGAACAGAAGTTATTGTAATTCCACAAGTTCGGTAGTTCAGATCACATAGGTCTCATTATTAGGACTGTCTGCAAGAACTCATATAGCTTTTAACAACCATTATTAAAACTGCGTCCTTTTCTGGTATAGTCATTTAAAACTTTGAATGTGTTTAAAGTCACAGGTTACTCCTGAAAGCAGCTGTCTCAATTAGAGGAGATAAGAACCTATACTGAAGCAGTTAATTTCCCACCAGAAACAAGCATAATGACTTATTTTATTTATTATCTTAAGAAACATACAAATTACACGACCAAAACAAACGATACAATAAATCTGAGGTTGAGCATCACTTCAGAAAAGCAAAATCTCCAGAGTCCTCCTAGTTGAGCCTTTAAGACAGAGAAGGAATTTATTTATGCAATCACTCTGGAGGAAAAGGGACATACAGAACCTCCTTGCAAATGAATAGATGGACAGACACACAAGAGAGAACTAGATTATTAGGAGAAAACCAAAGAAAAAGAGATTGGAAAGAAAAGGGCATGGAAACAACACAATAAGGGGAACTAAAGTAAACCAATCTGTAGAAGGAGAAGAATATACACGATTGTTATGAGCACATGACAAAAGCAAAAGAAATGCGGTAAGTAGGGCTTATTAAATGAAACGTATATAATCAAAACAGAATATTTATTTGCACTCCTGACACCTTTTGAAGGTACTTGAACCAGTACTGTATGTGACCACGTGAAATGAGGAAGCCTTTGATAAACACATCTTCTCAATCAACCAGCTCCAGCAGCAAGTGAATGCTAAAGAAGGATATCAGTGCTCTGCTATAGAATGAGTGAACAGTACAGTGTTGTTTACTACTCTATAGTTCAGTGTCACAAGGGCATCACTATGAAGCCTACAGACCTTAAGTACTGGACAGAAAGGAAGGTGCAATAGGCTCAACTGTCCTTTCATATCAGCTGGCAGAAGTGGGTGACGCCCAGGTGGTTCAGAGCATTACTTGTTGGCAGAGCTGAGTGCCATGTCAGTTGCTGTTTCACCATGAAACGCAGCAGGTGACTGGCCTGAAGCTGTTCATAAACATGCATCGCTGCGTCACTTCCCAATGCAGAATGCTTAAGTTGCTGGTTTTCTATTTCAGAGAAATACAAAGACCACTGACTAGAGGTCAGCACAAGAATAAAAATGAACAAGAAAACAGCCCGCAATGGCAATAATTTTTTCTCATGGTTATTTGGGAGAAGCATTACCCAAGCTTAGGAAAGTACATTTACTCAGATTTAACAGGATGAACAAACCGCTTATAGTACACAACTCATGCAACCTCACTGTCCGTATTCAAAGGGAAGCAAAATACAGATACAGTGAGAACAAGTCTCGGGCACAGGGGACACACTACAGGCAGCGGGTGATCCGTATCCGAGATCCCTGCACACAGAAAGGAATGTATGTTTGAGCTGACCAGAACTATCTTCAAACACGAAACTCTGCCCCAACACCCTCCAAGAATTTCTAGGACTCTTTTGTCCTGTATTTTGCAAACTGTCTCCTAACTTAAGATTTCTTATGTCCTTTACACAGGACATGTAATTTCCTCTGAAGTCACATCTCTGGGGAATGTATTTTACAGCCTCCTGTACTCTTGAAGAAAAGCAGGGACTTGAACTCTGATCCTTGTGTTGGTCCAGTGACCCACACCTCACATGCTGCAAGTTTACCCTCATATTTCCGATTTCAGGGTCAGGAAATTAATTCAGGAATCAGTTCTGCTTGTACATAGTCAGGACACAGCACCCATCCCAACTTCCTTGCAAATACAGGGAAGGACTTTTTTCTCTCCCCATCACCCCTTCCTTCCCTTGTACAGAACTCAAACACACAACTGGACATAAAGACTCCCAGAATAATTAGCACAATCATAACGTTTGCTCCATCTCCAGTAGATCAAAACAATTACAGTCTCTGACCACAAGACTATTTTTACTTAATGTGTTTCACAGTGAACTGCAATGGCTCCAAACACTGCAGAAGAGCCTTCAAGGCTTCATCTTACACGTTTTTACCTATGAGATTGTGCAACGTATTTATTACTCTTGTCCCGAAGGTACCTGAACATTACCAGAAATCAGTGCTAGGTGCAAGAGAACTTCTGTGTACTGTGTTAAGCAACACATCCAGTAAGTGCGCAGAAAGCAACTCTAACAACATTGCATGCTAAAGTAATTTAGAAAATGCTTGTTTATTCAAAGCACTATGCAAGTAAAACATAAAAGCACCATTTAAGGAACAAAACTAGAGTTTCATGTGCAGCAAATGCATTAACCTTTGCATACATACAGACCAGAGCAATACACCTACTCAAGTCCCATTCTTATTTCCAACAGCCTTCCCTTCCCCTGGGTATAACCAAACCAGGCTTATAGCCTGAGGGAACAGAAGGAGGCTGAACATCAGCTTCAAGGTAGTTAAACACTTGCTTGTTCCCACAGTTTGTAATTAAATACTCCGACCTATCGGATAAAATACTGACATCATACTGACAGGGCCACGAACCTGAATTCTGTTAATGTTACGCTTCCAAATTTCTCTTAACCTGTATTCTCATCAGCATGAAAAGGTCTTTCCTCCCAGCTTCCCAGAAGCAGAAGCTACAAGAGACTAATACGCACATGGAACCAACATCCATCAAGTTAAAAAGATAAACTATTCAGTCCTACGAAGAGAGGAGAAAACATTAGACTGACCAGAGCTGCATGTGAGTAACCAGGGATGGGGGGCAGGTAAGAAGAGGGCACAAGGACAGAAAAAACCCTACTGCTAGCTTCAGGCATTGGGATCCAAAATTATACTCCTTCCCCACTTACACCCCAAAATTTCCAGTATAAATCAAAGAGCTACTCTAAGTACTACTCTAAGCTACTCCCACACAACCTTCTACAGATGCAAAAGAGTGATTTAACTGAACATTGGTCCCGATGGACAGGAATAATTGCCTAGAAGTTACAGATAAAGAACAGAAAAGGAGACAGGACACCACTGAAATAGGAAACTATCCAAAAAACTTTCCTGATATTTATTACCAGAGAAAAATTCCCAATGGATAAATATAGCTTTCGTAGTCACCTACAAATTAGAGCTATTAGAAAATATCTCGACAGCTCCAAGAACAGCTCTCAGTTGCTTAGACACATGGAAAGTTTATAATCAACCTGCTACAAAAGCTTTAATTTTGAACATGTGTCGTTGAAGAAAAACACTGAAGCAAGGACTTTACTTTTTAGATGTATTAATAACTAATCCCCTTTGGATTATGTCAAGCATGTCACATTAGGATGGCTTGGGCTCACCTTGACTGGCGAGTATGTTAAAATGCAACTAAACCCATCTACATTTGCACTCCAACTCATGTTTATGTTAAATTTCAAATGGTTACAGAGGAAAGGCATCTGTCGGACTAATTCTGATCAAGACCACACTATCATCCTGTTTTATTCAACATGAAGCGTTACAGGCAAAAGTAGTCTTAGAGAATGATGCGTAACATTTTCTACACACCTGAATTTAAAAGAGAAGGGGAAAGTTCTCTTTGCAAAATGTACTTGCTGCACTAAGTTCTGTTATTACTAAAAGTACATTTATGCAGCACAAGATCTTGGTGTAAAGGGTTATATACGCAAACAGCTGGATTAACAAACCAGAGTAGAGAATGAGCTTTTCCTGTTTCTGTTAATTTATGGCTCAATGTTACATTCCTTTCATGCAATGCCATAATCTCCAGTGAATGACTTCGCATTATCCTCCTCAGAGTAATCTAGGAATGCAGATACAAAGAACACCAACCATCACCTTCATAACATTTTTCCCTCTTAACCCTCAAGGGTTTAGGTGCCTGATGGAGTTTTAGATATGAATAAAACTTTAAACATCCATGCTCAGCTGCTGCTACCCTTCAAACACACAACTTTCTGCCAGTTGGTACGTGTACCAACATGGAAGCCTTTGCAACATTGCAGGAACCAGTACTGCACATCCAAGCCTCCTCACAGTTCCCAGATCGCCTGCTCACCCTGTCACACCTCAACTGCCAAAACGCAGGAAGGTGCTTTTCAAAAAGTGCAACTTTCAGATCTGTCCTTTATCCCAACAATAAAACCAGAAATTCGGGAATGGACTAGCCCCAGCAGAAACTATTTTGTACAATACTAACACTACGACAAGAAGCATGCATGTTTCAATCCCCTCTAGGTCTGCCTCAGCCAAAACCCAAAACTTGGCTTTTGTTACCCCAGCTGAATGCCTGTGTCCTTGTGGTGATACCATCATGCTTTGTCCAGCAATTTCAACTGGACAGCCTCAGCCCAGAAGCTCCTGCCACCCAGGAGAGCAACACGTTCATATCACTCCTCCAAATAAAGCAGCAAGATGACCCCTTTGGAAAAGTGGGCCCTGCTCAGACATCTGATTCCAGGACAGTGTTTGCAACTGCAAATAATACAAATGGATCAACACCTTCACCCAGCTAGACCCAAGACCTAAGCATCTATAAAAGCTGGCCTGCATGGCAGATCTCTCTCTACATGTCCCACAGGTCACTGAGGCACTCTGCTCATTGTCCTCTGAGGTGGCTGGAGGGCACCTTTAATGGCCTTTCCCTGCAGGTCATACCGATGGAGCAGGTGCCAGCTCTGGGCTACTGGGCATCAGAGAAGCCACAGGTCAGGCATTTGCATGCTCCAACCCTTAAGCTACTTTGGATTTTTTTGCCTTATCCTTCTGTCAACTGTACAGAAAGTACAGACACTTCTTCACTCAGCTTTCTAAAGACTCAGTGAACAAATCACATGAAGCACTTGTATCTATTGTACTAAAAATAAACAAAACTCAACCACAGGATCTCTTTTTAGTATTCAAAGCACTTGCAGGTTGGTGGACACAGCCCTGATGAAAAGGCCCCCTCGGATGACACACACACACACCCCTCCAGG